AGTTGGGGACTGCACAAGGACAGCCACGGACATATGCGGACCATTCCACGGACGGTCCATCGGCTCATCAGGGTAGAAGGCCACCAAAGGTGCTAAGTTGACTTGACCCCAAAGTCATCAGATTTTCTCAAGAAGCAAAAGGAGTTAAGTTGACTTAGCTCCTTTTGATATCATATTTTTATGGTGACATGTTGACGTAGCCCCTTTGCACTGATAAAAAAAACACAGAAAATATAGCCAAAAAAAACAGTATTTTTACTGTCAGGTGTCCAGCATTAAGTCACTGGTAAAACAAAGGCGCTATACAACGCCTTTCCTGGGGTGCTAAAATCAAAGCCTCATATTCACGAAATCAACACATTTTCCGTCGTAAATTAATAACTCACACAGTTTTGAAGATTTCAAGCCGTGCTATCCATTTAAATTGTACGTCTGCAACAGGTGGGCAAACGCAGCGTCAAAAACGCAATTTGGCGGAAAATTTCACCCATCGCAAATTTCAACAATTCTGACCTTAGAAACTGTTCTTTTAGCCCGTGCTACCCTTAAATTGTGCGTCTGCAACAGGCGGCCAAACGCACCTCCAAAAACGAAATTTGGCGGTGAGGCCCAAATAAGCAAGGCCGGCGGGACCAAGTGGCGCACAACTAAATCTGAGCACGCCGAAAAACTGTTCTTAAACTGGGCTTTCGAACCGCCTAGGGTAGAAAAGCAATGGTCGTATCTTCATAGGCGTTAGCGACGCGTTTACATGGGCCCCGCTTACTTTCCGACAGCGGGACCCATCGCGAATGTCAACATTCCGACAACGCCATTCCGAACCGAAAAAAACTGTGCTTTCAGCCAATGCTTTGCGTTTTAATTGTGCGTCGAGGGCAGGTGTTCAAAGGCACCGTCAAAAACGTAATTTGGCGGAAGGGCCCAAATAAACAAGGCCTGCGGAACCCAGTGACTCACAATTAAATTCAAGCACGCCAAAAAACTGCGCCTAAACAGTGCTTTTGAACCGTCCAGCCAACGCGTTTGTATGGGTCCCGCAAACTACACGAATTTCACTAATCATGAAATTCAACAATCCGATTACGCCATTCTGACCAGAAAAACTGTGATTTCATGCCGTGCTATCTATTTAAATTGTGCGTCTGCGACAGGTGGCCAAAGTCAGCGTCAAAAACGTAATTTGGCGGGAGGGCCTAACTAATTAAGGCCTGCTGAATCCAGTGACTCACAAATAAACTAGGTAGATGTACGCCAGACCACTTCTCGCGTAACAGGCTTCGCGATATCTCACGAAACACTGTTACGCTGCGACGCGCCTAGAGTAGAAAAGCAATGGTCTTCTCTTTGAGGGCGGTAACGACGCGTTTACATGGGCCCGGCCAACATCACGTCAGCGGGACCCATCGCAAATATCAACATTCCGATAACGCCATTCTGAACCAAAAAAAAATGTGCTCTCAGTTTCTGCATTCAATTTGAATTGTGCGTCGATGACAGGTGTTCAAAGACACCGTCAAAAACGTAATTTGATGATGAGTCAGCAGGGTCAGCGGGACCCACCGCAAATTTTCACAAACCGACTACGCCATTCTAACCGAAAAAAAACTCTGCTTTTATTCTGTGCTCTACGTTTGATTTGTGCGTCCACGCGTATTGCGAAAAAAACCGTCATTGACTCACAATTAAATCCGAACACGCCAAAAAACTGAGCTTAAACAGTGCTTTTAAACCGTCTAGGCAACAAAAACTGTGCTCGTCCCTTTCTGGGCTGTGACAACGCGTTTATAAGGGTCTCGCAACCTACACGAATTTAACTAATCGCGAATTTCAACAATCCGATTACGCCATTCTGAACCGAGAAAAACTGTTCTTTCAGCCAGTGCCTCACAATTAAATCCGAGCACGCAAAAAAAGGGCTCTTAAACAGTGCTTTTAAACCGTCTAGCCAACAAAAACTGTGCTCGTCTGTTTCTAGGCGAAAAAAAAGTGTATATGTGAGTCCTGCAAACTCCACCACAGCGTGACCCATCGCAAATTT